TGAAAACATTCTGTTACCGTGGCCCCCAGAGCTCTGCGGGTGTATCGACACACCTTCTAGGGCTAAGGTGAGGAACGTCCTTTGCTCTCAATTCAGGACCATTTTGTAAATGCGCGTTACCAGGTGAAACTTGGTTCTGCTTCAGACTCTTGCTCATCAGGGAGGCCTTGTCCGATTCCTTCCCTCCCCATAAAATCCTTTCCGTTCTAGGTCATATTTCTTTCGTTTCTATCCTTCTCTGCTTACTCTTCTCCCCTCCCCTTAGGTCTTGGGGGCGTGACTTGGTGGAGCTTAAATGCAAAGCCCTGAAAACTAAGAAGAAAAAACAAGGAAACCTTTCAGACCACAGAGAAAAGAAATGTTGCAAGAAGTAAGAAAATGTAAGCTGCTTCTCTGTCTCACGTCTGTTCGAAACAGATCTCTTTCCTTCTCTGGCTCCATTTAGAAGGCTTCTATAGGGCTGAGGATATAGAGATGAATGTTAGAGTGCTTGCCTCCCACAGATAAGGCTCTAGGTTCAGTCCCCAAGCCTCCTGTGAATAAACTGTTTTTGGCAGTTGGGTTGATCTCCATGAACTTCTCTTTAAGAGAGAAAAGCTGCATCTTTGGTGTTCCACAGGCCTAGAAATAACCTTTTGTGCTTATTTTTGAAGGCCTGAGAATTTTCTCTGACACACTCACTACAGTGATTTTGAGAAGGATGAGAGGTTTCAAACCCCGCCCCCCATGGATTTCTATTTTCAAAATGGTGGAGATTCAAGGAATGAGACAAAAGATGAATATAGTTGTAAGGGGTATTTTCATTGCCTTAAATAGAGTGTTTTTTATTTTTTATTTTTTAAAGCAATAGAAGAACAGCACTTCATGTGGGGGCAATTTTCTGTTCCTACCCAGCTAATGGTGACAGCTATTGTAAAAAACGAATTTTTTCTATCCAAGAAATTGTAAAGAAGGAATGATGCTGTAGCATTGCTGTAGCATCTCACACTGCAAAAGTGAATGGGCACAGTGTATAACATATACTTTGTTAATACGGAACAGGCATTAAGTGTCAGGGCCATTTCAGGTATCCACAGATGGCATATTGAAATATATGCCCTGTGAATCAGGGAGTGACTACTGCATTTTCATAATTGTAACAAGTTTAAGAACCTGATTTATAAAAGTAAATGGCAAGTTTGGGTTGTGGTGGGGTAGATCTGTAATCCAAGCACTGCTTAGGCAGGGACAGGAACATTGTAAATTTGAGGCCAGCCTTAGTTATGTAATGAGAGGCTTTCTCACCTTCTAAATCACGCTATTCAGCCCCCCCATCAGAAAAAAAAAAGGTAAATGACATTGGATGGTATAATGGAGGTTAGAAATAAAGGAATATGCTATTGGTAGAAATGAATTATAGAAACTGATGAATGAATAGGGATTAATCAAGGAATGATTGGCCAAACAATGTGGGCCAAGGAAATAGCAAATATAAAGTCACTGGAGTACCAGATCAAATCAAGCAAGCTAATTCCTGTATACACTTTGTTGTTCTAATCTAATTTTTATTAATACATGTTGCAGCCTGCTGTGTGCCCCTTAATCTGCTCCGACAGAGACCAGACCTTGGAATTGAGGTTTTCAGTACCAGGGGACCTGTAGCCTTCTGGCAGCTTTAGATCCTAAGGTTCCATTCATCAAGGTTTTTAGTGGTTGCATGTAGGGAAGTATGGGCAGAAAGTAAGGTACAAGCTTCAACAAGTAACAATATTTTGTGTACAAGTGGTAGATGACTTCCTCATCTTGAGATCTAGAGCTAAACAATAAACAGGTCACAATTTGCATAAATCTTAGCATACCGCCAGGCTCTGTGGCAGTTTAGGGTGGAATTAGCCCACACCCAGTTTAGAAATCCAAATTCCTGTTGGGTCAGGACTGATTGACCTTTCCAGGAAACTCTCAGCAATTTGAGAATATGTTGGGGGAAGGCCTTCCAAGTTCCCAATCCTTTTGGGTCTCACAGCTTGGCTTTTCAGGCCCTCACAAAGTTTCAAATAAAATGTAAAACAGTACTTTGTTTTAAAATATAAATTCAATAGTTCTACTATGAATGTAGTAAGATTAAAATTTTTTTTGGGGGGGGACCAGTAAAGTACTGGGGTTTGAATTCAGGGCCTGGGCACTATCCCTTAACTATTTCTCTTAAGGCAGATACAAAATTATATTCTTTTGTCATTAGCCAAGTAAGTACCTCATTGTCATAACCACATATATTTCCCATATTGTCATTACTAAGTACTATAATCTTTTTTTTAACATAACACTTTTTACTTTATAATAAGTACTATAATCTTGAATTTTTCTGGCGTATAAACCTTTACATATTTTTTATTGACATTTTTAATGAGTTTATTTTCCTTTTCCTTTTTGTTTATGTAGTACTGAGGAATTGAACCTTGGGCCTTGTGTATGCAAGGCAAGCACTCTACCACTAGGCCACATTTCCTCCCTAAACTTTCACATATCATATTTTATTTTCATTTGTTTTCTACAACCAATGCATGACAGTGACTCCATCTAGCAATAAATACGAAGATGAGCCTATAAAGGGAGAAAAAGCATGTATGCATTTTAAAATGTGTACATAAAAATTTTTGTGTTGCTAAACATCTCTATTCTAAGAAATCTTTGGTTGCATTTAGTTATTTTCTACTATTGTAAACAGTTCTTGAATAATTAAATCTAATGTTCTTTCTCACTTGCTATCCTTTAATGCAAATATAATGTGGGAGTGTCCTGCTAAAATTTTATCTGCCTTTAACATTTCCACCCAAGTTCTTATACATCTTAGACCAAAATATGAAACCAGGTAGTTAAGAGGAGAATTATATATGGGATCTATGTTAAGGTAGATTATAACCGTTGTATAGGTTTGTCTCGTACACATTTAGGGTCAGACTGAATAAATAGCACCATATTCCCCCCACCCCCCAAGTTAGAACTGGAACAATATGTACAGAAACTGTGGGAATAGATACTCATGTTATAAATGTAGCACATAAATAGTAGGAATTTAATATCATTTTCATACTTTGTTTAAAGGCTCACTGTCTTTGAAGTTTAGAGTATGATGTAGAGTATGTTCTGGAGCAGGAAGTGAAACTTAGTTGGAAGAGCTTTCCTTTCCTGTTCCTTATAATAGTTTCATACTACTTTGCATTATCAGTGCTTGAGGAATCTAAAACTTTTTCAGTAATAACATATTAAAACTTTTTAGAAAGCTTTGTAGGTTTTCTCTGAAAACACATCTTGTTTATTTAAATCCTCAGATAGAAGCAATATTATCTATATATGTTAAGTTCAGTCTCACAGACATCATCATAGACAGGACTCAGAGACAGGACAGTGTTGAATCTATGATGTAGATGTGAAAGTTCACTGTTCAGTTCTCCAAGAAAGAACTTGAGGCCCAGTTGAGAGCAACTTTGCAGATAGATAGGCAACAGCTGTTAGTTCTTTCAGTGTTTGGTTCAGCTGCTAAGCTCCATCTCACCATTACCTTGTTCCCCAGGGCTGTTTTAAAGTCAGTGACCCAGACAAATGGGAACCAGCAAAAGGAGTCCAGAACATCTTTGCCTGCCAATACAGAGTTGAACATGTATGGCTGGTCTGTAGCAGTTTTGCATTTTCTGCCCAATCCTTGTCCTACCTCTCACCTCCCAAACTCTGTCTCAGCATCTACTTATAGAGAACCCAACACATGTCACTACACGTGTTTTCCCCAAGGTAGATAACCAAGGGATAGACTTATCATGTATAGGTATCTCCCTCCAAATTGAGACTCGACTGGGCAACAGCAAGTGCCTTCTCTTTCAAATTAGAATTGAAGTACCTACTTCAAAGGCTATGAAAGTGTAATACATTTTATTCAACTGAATATGCCTTTGCAAAGATGGAAATAAACCCGTGTATAGAAGACAAAGCCTTAATAAGTAGCTTGCAAATTGCTTAAATGTAGCTTGAACTTCTTAAACTTCAGAGATCTGGATGGTTACTTTCCCATATCTTACAGAACTGTTATGCCTGACCCTCGCTATGATTATAATCTTGCAGGCCTTTCAATACTGCTAATCCTATCCAGTTGGCTCCAGCTAGAGCTTCCCCACTGGGAAGCTTGCATTTACCCTTTCCTTCCTTCACCTGAAACCAATTCTCTAGGCTGTTTTAACCTGAGGCACTGGGGAACACCTTACCCAAATGTAAAGCATTTACTATAATGTAACAACTCTTTTCCTGGGTTGTAAGTGGCTCTGAAAAGAGCCTTTGTTTCCTCAGTATTTCTAACCTTGCTACTTATTTAGCCTTGTGGTGGCTCTCGGTCTTCTTGGGCAGCAGCACGGCCTGGATGTTGGGCAGGACACCGCCCTGGGCAATCGTCACCCCGCCCAACAGCTTGTTGAGCTCCTCGTCGTTGCGGATGGCCAGCTGCAGGTGTCGCGGGATGATGCGGGTCTTCTTGTTGTCGCGGGCCGCGTTGCCAGCCAGCTCGAGGATCTCGGCCGTCAGGTACTCCAGCACGGCCGCCAGGTACACCGGGGCGCCGGCGCCGACGCGCTCGGCATAGTTACCCTTACGGAGCAGCCGGTGAACTCGGCCGACGGGGAACTGGAGACCGGCCCGGGAGGAGCGGGTCTTAGCCTTGGCGCGAGCCTTGCCGCCCTGCTTCCCACGTCCAGACATAATTGACAAGAGTCCACAAAAAGCAGCAGCTGAGAAAGGTTTAAGGACCGCAGTCTTTATAGCCTTTCTTGGGCGCGAAAAAGAATGCCTGTTATTGGCTAAAGCTTTAGCTTAATTTTAACCAATAGAAATACGTCTTTGGCCTCTACGCATTTTGATTGGATAAAGCGAACCCGCTTTGACTAACCACCAATCGGACAGAGACTTCACCCTATTTACATACAGAGCTCTATGTATGGACTGTGCTTTGCTGGTAGTTATTTTTTTTGCCCGCGTTCCTCTTCTTGTCCTCAACATTGTTGTTTTTCACCATGCCTGATCCAGCCAAGTCCGCTCCAGCGCCCAAGAAGGGGTCGAAGAAGGCGGTGACCAAGGCGCAGAAGAAGGACGGCAAGAAGCGCAAGCGCAGCCGCAAGGAGAGCTACTCGGTGTACGTGTACAAGGTGCTGAAGCAGGTCCACCCGGACACCGGCATCTCATCCAAGGCCATGGGCATCATGAACTCGTTCGTGAACGACATCTTCGAGCGCATCGCGGGCGAGGCGTCGCGCCTGGCGCACTACAACAAGCGCTCGACCATCACGTCTCGGGAGATCCAGACGGCCGTGCGCCTGCTGCTGCCCGGGGAGCTGGCCAAGCACGCCGTGTCCGAGGGCACCAAGGCCGTCACCAAGTACACCAGCGCCAAGTAAGCCTAAGTGATGGAGCAGAACGACTAACCCCAAAGGCTCTTTTGAGAGCCACTTACTTTGTCAGTACTAGAGCTGTACACTACCATTTGAGTCCTTTTAGGCTGTAGAAATTGCACAAGGAGCAGGCTGCTGTGTCTTGGTTCAGAGGCCGGAAATGCTAGCGTCCGGGTGGACACAAGTGTAAAGTTAAGATTTGGGCAGGTATTTTTGAGCAGTGGGTTGGATTCCTGTCTCTGTCACACCTTTTCTCCTTTGGTGCTTTAATGGGCCTTTGTCAGTGAAGTTTGTCTTCATTGACTTCCCAAAGTGCATCCCTGCAACCTGCAATTAGTCTCAGCTTTCTATAAAGAATGCTGTGTTTAAACAAAGGCCTAGAGTCGTGGCTCAAGTGGTAGGGCACAAGCCAAGCAAGCAAACTGAGCGTGAGGCCCTGAGCTCAAATAGAAACAAAACAAAGAAAAAAGCCTTGGGAAAAGGCGTGAAGTGGGCCAAATTAGGACGCTGTTAGGTCTGGGGGATTCTTGGCAGGTGAAAGAATACCGAATCAGAATGGCAACCAAGGACGCAAAGGTTTATTTGCTTTCTGTTTAGGCGAGGAAAGGGAGCAGACACTAAACACAGGCTTGGTGGGATAACGGATCAAGATGGTGGGGCTTGTGGGCTTCTCGTGTATCCCGGTAAGACCTGCATGCATAACAGGGTATGGTTTGGCCTAGAGACAAGAATGTCAAAGATTTTAGATATTGGAGGTTCTCAGAAAGGAGCAGGCGAGTTACTAGCCGGGTGTGAGAAAGCTAAGCAAGGTTAGGCTGGAAACTACACAGAACAGAATTATAGTAGATACCAAATGAAGTTATTTAGGACTGCTTGTTGGCTTTATATGTAGCCATTTTGCTAGTGTGTCCCCGTCTCCCCTACTTCTCTGCAGCCTTCTGGGTTCAGAAGACGCTAGACTGAAAGTCTAGATAAAAGTCTGCAAGAGAGAAACATTTCTCTTGTAGAGAAATGGAAACCGAGGATCACAAAGACTCTGACCAGTTCAATTTATCTTTAGTGTGCTTTAGTTCAGTGACTTCATATGACAAGCATGGAGTTTATAGGACTTTTAATAGTGGGAGATGTAGATTGCAAATAAAAGACTACCATAACACCCTCCACCCAAACAGACAACCATAACATTTATGGATTACATTTTTTTTCTTTTTTTGCCAATCCTGGGACTTGAACTCAGGTCTGGGCACTGTCCCAGAGCTTCTTTTGCTCAAGGCTAGCACTCTACCACATGAGCCACAGTACCACTTCTGATTTTTTTCTATGTGGTACTGAGGAATTGAACTCAGGGCTTCATGTATACTAGGCAAGCACTCTACCACTAAGCCACATTCTCAGCCCTATATTAATATTTTAAGGAATACAGCAACAACTTATTTTTAACACAGCACTTACCAATATACCAAGCAGTGTTCTATATAGCTGGAATATTGCTATATGTCAAATCACAAAGGTAATTTATAATGCATATTTTCAAATATGGAAAGGAGCCTAGAAATGGGTAGAAGACATTTTAATAGTTACTTTTTGAAGAAAACAGAGCAAGGAAGGGCATAGGCAATGGGAGAAACACTACTAAAGCAGAAGTGAAGAGAGGGGAGTGTATTATTTGAGCTTCCTGTAGTTATTTCCTAAGCAGTACAACTTTAACTTACCTGACCATTAAAATATTTTTAATTATAAAGGTGATATACAGAGGAATTATAGTTACATAATTTACGTAGAGTACATTTCTTTTTGGATGTCACCCCTTCCTTTGCTCTCCCAGTTTTTCTCTCCTGTCTTAACTATAGTTCATTTTCAACATAGTGTGTAGTTAGTACCACTGCTCCAATTGCTCACCCTGACTTCATTTGTTATATAGAGCAAAATCTATATAACCCATAGGCTGATCTCACATAAACAGTAGTAGAAATTTGTTCCAGTATAGTACCACTGCCTATTTAAATTTCTTGGGAAATGAGACGCTTAAGAAAAATACACTTAGCATGCTCTCTCAAATAATTCTAGTATTCCATATGCAAGACTGTATTAATTTGGCTAAAATAAAATATACCACACTAATAACAGATTCTACCTGATGTATCATTAATCTTCGCCCTTTTTATTTTGCTGCCTCACCTGAACCATAGTAAGTCTTGGAAACCGCTTGTCTCCAGGTGTTAACACACAGGTAATTGATTATAAGCCACTGCTGGCAGCCATTGTAGCTCTTTCCTGGACAGAATGGGGGGCCCTGAAAAGGACCTTTTTGGTTGTTTACAAGATTTCCAAAAGGAAATTAGCCGCCGAAGCCGTACAGGGTACGCCCTTGCCGCTTGAGCGCGTAGACCACGTCCATAGCGGTGACAGTCTTGCGCTTGGCGTGCTCGGTGTAGGTGACAGCGTCACGGATCACATTTTCCAGGAACACTTTCAGCACCCCACGGGTCTCCTCGTAGATCAGGCCGGAGATGCGCTTGACTCCTCCACGTCGGGCCAAGCGCCTAATGGCTGGCTTAGTAATGCCTTGAATGTTGTCGCGCAAAACCTTGCGGTGGCGCTTAGCACCTCCTTTCCCCAAGCCTTTTCCCCCTTTGCCGCGGCCAGACATGTTTAGAGATTGAAGAGCGAAGAACAACTGTCTGGGAGCCACTAACAGCTTCCTCTTATATAGGTAGTCTCTGCGGACCGGAGTGAAGACCGCAAGAGCTGCGGCGGGAAGTCTGTATGCTGGGGGAGGGGCCCTAAAAGGGAAAGAAGCCTGCTGCGCGGAATTAACTTCTTCCAGTTTTTTAAAATTAAGATCCAAGGCTGTTGTCTTTTCTCATTTAATGTGATTTCTGCCCCAACCACCGTCATTAAACAGAAATGTAATATTATTGGAGATACATAATGAGAATATTCTGCACATATTCACATGCTTATTTAGCTGTTTTGTTTTTAAAAGTATTAAGGACAGGACGTTGAGACCAGAAATACATCCAAATAGATCTAATAATTCTTTTCGTTTTCCCAGTTGTGATATTTTCCCACAATTGTTTAACCTAGTATAAAATGTACATTTTGTAAGTTGAGTCAAGTCCTTATGTCACACAAAACAGTTGAGACAGGCCTACTGCTGCACACTTGTAATCCCAACATTCAGAAGGCAGAGGTTTGGAAGAAGGCCAGGCTGGGCAACAGTCAATTTGTTCTTCCCTTGTTAATCTGCCTTATAATTATTTGGCTCAGTCAAAAACCCTAGGTTGGTAGAATAAAACATTATCCTTTTCCACACTGGCTGTTTTGTCATTCATTCTTGAAATCCATAGTGCTTTAAAAAACACAAAGTGGGGCTGGGAGGTGGCTCAGTGGTAGAGCTCTTGCCTTGCATGCATGAGGCCCTGGGTTTGATTCCTCAGCACCACATAAGCAAAAAGAAAAAAACCGGAAGTGGTGCTGTGGCTCAAATGGTAGAGCACTAGCCTTGAGCTGAAGAGCTGAGGCCCAGGCCAAATTCAGGCCCCACGACCGGATACCCCCCCCCCCCAAAAAAAAAAAAGAAAATTAAAAAAAATAAACAATGTGATGAATTAAGGCTCTCCGAACTTTTAGGCTTTGTCCAGGTCAAGCTATTTCACTTAACTGCTGTTATGCTTGCAGAATATATCCTGTATTGATACTTGCATTTAGATTTATTGAGCTAAATTGGAAGACGTTAAGGACAGAACAATTTATCAACCACCTACCAAAATAAACTACTAGGATCATTATAGTTAGTATATACCAGTTGCACTAGGATGCCAAGTAGCTGTACTCAGTACAAGAAACAGGAAGATGTGAACAACTGTAACTATTAAGCTTACACTGCAGGGAGGAATCGCAAACACTTCATTGTGTATGCCCTATTTAGTGGCTGTGCACTTGAACAATTTTGGCAAGTGTTTCCACAGCAGCTTAGTGGCTAACCTCCAGAATTCACTGGAGCTTTCCCTTCTAATTATCCCACTTGAGCTTCAGAAGCTTTTCAGCCAGTACTTTTGGCCTACTGCACACTAGGCAATCGTTGGACTCTTTTAAGAGAAGATAGGTGGCCCTGAAAAGAGCCTTTGGTTTCTTGTTATGGTTGCAAATAAATTTGCTCATTTGCCCTTGGCCTTGTGGTGGCTCTCGGTCTTCTTGGGCAGCAGCACGGCCTGGATGTTGGGCAGGACGCCGCCCTGGGCAATGGTGACTTTGCCCAGCAGTTTGTTGAGCTCCTCGTCGTTGCGGATGGCCAGCTGCAGGTGTCGCGGGATGATGCGCGTCTTCTTGTTGTCGCGGGCCGCGTTTCCAGCCAGCTCGAGGATCTCGGCCGTCAGGTACTCCAGCACGGCCGCCAGGTACACCGGGGCGCCGGCGCCGACGCGCTCGGCATAGTTGCCCTTACGGAGCAGCCGGTGAACACGGCCGACGGGGAACTGGAGACCGGCCCGGGAGGAGCGGGTCTTAGCCTTGGCACGAGCTTTGCCGCCCTGCTTGCCACGTCCAGACATAGTAATGACTGAGAATGCACTACACCAAGCTTTCAAAAACAGCTGTCTTTATATTCATTGCTGGGCGCGAAAAAGAGTACGTGTTATTGGTTAAGACTTTATCTTCGTTTTAACCAATGGAAACATAATCTTGGGAGATACACATTTTGATTGGCTCTGAAAAAAACATCGTCAGAGACAGGCCTCACTCGACCTTATTTGCAATTGAGGTTCTATAAATACACGGTACGTTGCTGCGATGTGTTCCACAATCTCTTCCACAATGCCTGAGCCAGCTAGATCTGCCCCGGCCCCGAAGAAGGGCTCCAAGAAGGCGGTGACCAAGGCGCAGAAGAAGGACGGCAAGAAGCGCAAGCGCAGCCGCAAGGAGAGCTACTCGGTGTACGTGTACAAGGTGCTGAAGCAGGTCCACCCGGACACCGGCATCTCGTCCAAGGCCATGGGCATCATGAACTCGTTCGTGAACGACATCTTCGAGCGCATCGCGGGCGAGGCGTCGCGCCTGGCGCACTACAACAAGCGCTCGACCATCACGTCTCGGGAGATCCAGACGGCCGTGCGCCTGCTGCTGCCCGGGGAGCTGGCCAAGCACGCCGTGTCCGAGGGCACCAAGGCCGTCACCAAGTACACCAGCTCCAAGTAAGCCTCGACTTCGTATCCCAAAGGCTCTTTTCAGAGCCACCTATCTTCTCAAGAGAGAGCGGGCCTGCTTGTGGTTTTCTTTTCACAGCGTCCTTAAGCTTCCAGAGCGTCTTTTTAACACTTAGAAGTATATATGTCCAGTACTGATGACTTTGTTGCATCAGCAATAACTAAAATCACCTGTTGGAGTAAGTGGGTTGCTAGGTGAAGCTCCAGTGCGGAGGTTGCGCGGGCAGTTTGAAATTTCCGCCCAACCGCCATCCCGCGCCCTGATTGGTTGCTGTGATCCGGAAGCGTAGGCAGTGGGTGGTGTCTGGGGACGGATTCCAGGCCTGGGTGGGTTGGCGGCACTCGCTGCCCGAGGAAAGCGTCCGACACTTGTATTTCATATTTCCTTTATTTAGGACTTTAACTCACCTAGGAATGGATTTGGTCCTTTGAGAAATTCTCATTGGAGAGAAAGCAATTCAAGGGACCTGGTTTTGAGTTTGAAACTAATAAGCAATTTCTAACTAGGACAGTTTTTCCTTTGTGTATCTGTATGATCCAATTACAAAATAACTTCAGTCCCACACCTGAAAGGAATTTATTCCAGACCTTACGTGACAACCAGTCACTACATTTTGAGGTTATAACTTTGCGAGGTTATGTGTCTGTGGTAAAGGAAAACAACATTTATATAGCGTTTGCAATCTTCCTTTGATTTCTTTTTAAAAGGCAGTCTTCCAAGCCACGGGGTCACGTCTGTAATCCTACCTACTTAGGAGGCTCATTAAATGAGGTACCAGAGTTTAGTAATATTGACAGTCAAGCAGAACACATTTCTGAATCACAGGAGGAAATCCATTAGGAGTTTCATTAAATGGATCAAATGAGGTACCAGAGTTTAGTAATATTGGCAGTCAAGCAGAACACATTTCTGAGTCAAGAGATTGCATGGAAGGAAACAAATTGTCTATTAAAAGACGAATCGACGAAGGTGGGATTCGAACCCACGCGTGCAGAGCACAATGGATTAGCAGTCCATCGCCTTAACCACTCGGCCACCTCGTCTCCACGTAATTGTGCTTATGTGCGTCCCAATTCATAGTCAATATGCACTCTAGCACCCAGGTTGAAGATGTAGAGATGACTGATCTCCACACAAGTGAGTACCTACAGTGCGGGGAAAACGTTTATTTTGTTTTCTTTTTCGGTACTTTTGTAAGTGGTCGCGACTGGATCCATCAGTGCTTGAAGAACGCTCCCTCCCCTGCCAGGTGCGTCTCCGGAAGCGCTGTGGCAGGCGGGGGTGGGGCCACACTCAGACCCCGCTCTTAGTACTTTGCTGACACCTTCTGGCGACGGGCGAGAATGTCGAGCAAGCCGCTAAAAGCGGCTCCCAAACTGGTCCATGCGTGGGTCCATCTGGCCTCAATTTGTGGCTAATAAAACAATATGGAGGAAAAAATGTAGATCTGGGTAAGGCAATAACTATTCAGTGCTACTTTTAATTTAATGAAATAGCAGAGAATGAATTCCTCAATTCGTGCGACTTATTCCAGATCACGGGCCCTGGAGGAATCATAAGTTCAGAGTTCATGTATCTCCCAACGTGATTTTCTAGAGAATTTACTGAACTTGCACTCGCTTTTCCAGAAACATGCGGTGCTAAAAATATTAAAATTTTTTTACAATCTAGAAAACGAGTAGGTAAACACAGGGGGGAGGGTAAATTGCTGTGCGGCTGCTTCATTTGACTATTTTTGCTTGGTTTGTTTCACAGGATTAATAAAATATACCGATGAATGAACATGAGTAGGAATTCTAGGTGAGCAATAATGCTTGGGAAGAGAAGGTGAAACTTGAAAAGCAAGTTTTCCAGAGATGGGAAAGAGAGACAGGATGAGGAAAAGTGCTGAGCAAAGGTGAGCAGGCCCGGTGCTGTCTAGAACAGTGGTGAGCAGGCAGTGTTTAGATAAATTAGCTGATCAATAAATATCCTTAATAAACCTGAAAGTGGAATAAGAGATGGTCAAGTAGGTTTCTTTCCGGAAGTTCAGGCCAACCAACCATGTGATAAACAACAGGGAACAGGAGGAATGATGATGGTGATGATGACGATGATGATGATATCCTAGTTGTATAAAGAGGTTACAGTCTCACAAATCAGGATATGAGTACAATGCATCTTGATCAGTGTCACCCCATCATTCTCTTCCATTTCCCCATCCCATCCTTACTCAAGGTACATAGTTCAATTTTTACATAATGTACATTATATATGACTGTATACATTTTGAAGCAACAGATACGGGTTGCATCTATGTCAAGATACTTTTAGATTGCATTAACATTCCTTTGCTTGCTTTTGTGAATTTAAGAGTCACAAAACTAATTCTTTTCTTCTTTGAAAGAGGCCTTAGACTGTACAGTTTGTTCTATGACCTGCCTGCCTGATTCATGTCATCATGAAGGATCTGTC